TGGATGATATATTGATATTCTCTCCTGATGAAGAGTCCCATGTTCAGCATGTCCGCCAGGTCCTCCAAGGCCTTCTGGAAAACCAACTATTCGTGAAGGCGGAGAAATGTGAATTTCACAAGACCACTGTCTCATTCCTGGGCTTCATCATTGCTCCGGACCAGGTCAAGATGGATCCAAGCAAGGTCAGTGCTGTCGCAAATTGGCCCACACCCACCAACAGGAAGAAGGTACAGCAATTTCTCGGTTTTGCTAACTTCTACAGACGTTTCATAAGACATTTTAGCTCCATAGCTGCACCTCTCCACTCACTCACCTCAACCCATGTTCAGTTTTTGTGGACTCTACAGGCCGACAAAGCTTTCCAGGAATTGAAAAGACGGTTTACCTCTGCTCCTGTTCTCATCACTCCTGATTCACTACGGCAGTTTGTGGTGGAGGTGGATGCTTCCAATGATGGAGTTGGGGCTGTGTTGTCACAACGTTCAGCCAAGGACAGCAAACTTCACCCATGTGCTTTTCTGTCATGTAAGTTAACACCTGCTGAACGCAACTATGATGTAGGCAACAGAGAACTTTTGGCAGTCAAAACAGCGCTTGAGGAATGGAGACACTTTCTGGAGGGGTCAGAGCAACCATTCATAGTCTGGACGGATCATAAAAATCTTGAGTACATCCGAAAAGCTAAGAGACTGAACTCACGTCAGGCAAGATGGGCTTTGTTCTTCACTCGTTTTAAACTTTTCCTTGTCATTTAGACCCGGTTCACAAAATGTCAAGCCAGATGCACTCTCTCGTGTTTTTGATCCTGAACCCTCGGCAAAGGAACCAAAGCTCATCCTTCCACTAAACTGTGTGGTTGGAGCGGTAACTTGGCCAATAGAAACAGAGGTGAAACGAGCTAACGGTGAGAGCCCGACACCTAGGGGTTGCCCCCCAAATAGGTTGTTTGTTCCTCAAACTGTGCGTCCTAAGGTCATTCAATGGGCTCACACCTCGCTGCTCACCTGCCATCCTGGGGTAAAAAAAAACCATGTACGTCATCAAGCAACGGTTCTGGTGGACATCTATGGAGAAGGATGTCAAGGAGTATGTGGCCGCCTGCACCATCTGCGCCAGGAATAAGACCTCTTCCAGGCCCCAGATGGGTCTGCTCAGGCCGCTGCCTATCCCCAGTCGGCCCTGGTCCGACATCTCAGTGGATTTTGTCACCGGACTGCCAGAATCCAAAGGTAACACCACCGTCCTCACGGTGGTGGATAGATTCTCTAAAATGACACATTTTATTGCTTTGCCTAAACTGCCATCGGCCAAAGAAACGGCTGAAGTGTTGTTGCACCATGTTTGTCGTCTCCACGGTTTTCCCAAGGACATCGTGTCAGACCGGGGTCCTCAGTTTGTCTCCCGTTTCTGGAGGGAGTTTTGCAGCCTCATCGGGGCCTCTGTCAGCCTCTCTTCCGGTTACCATCCCCAATCAAATGGACAAACGGAGAGACTGAATCAAGAACTGGAAACCTGCCTCCGGTGCCTGGTGTCCCAAAACCCAGCTTCTTGGAGTAAACACCTCACGTGGGTAGAATACGCCCACAACTCATTGCCTACCTCTGCCACCGGATTGACCCCGTTCCAGTGCGTCTACGGTTACCAACCTCCCATGTTCTCAGAGACAGAGAAAGAAGTCATGGTTCCCTCGGCACACGCACTGGTCAGGCGCTGTCATGGCATTTGGGCTTCAGCACGTCGGGTCCTCCTTAGGACTTCGGCCCGCATGAAAAAAGCGGCTGATCGGCATCGCCGTCCTGCACCTGTGTACAGACCGGGTCAGAAAGTGTGGCTATCCACCAGAGACTTGCCCCTGAACGTAGTCTCTAGGAAGCTGGCACCAAGATTTGTAGGCCCATTCACTGTGGAAAAGTGTATTAACCCTGTGTCTGTTCGTTTGCGCCTGCCTAGATCACTCAGAGTCCATCCAACATTCCACGTAAGCAAACTCAAGCCGGTCAAGGAAAGCAAAATGGTTCCCGCTTCCAAGCCCCCCCCTCCTCCCAGGCTCATTGATGGAGGTCTGGTCTACACTGTCAAGCGTCTGCTGAAGGTCAGAAAACGAGGAAGGGGTCAGCAGTTTTTAGTGGACTGGGAGGGTTATGGACCGGAAGAGCGGGAATGGATCCCGTCTAGCTTCATCGTGGACCAGAACCTGATAAAGGATTTTTACAAAAGCCATCCTGAACTCACTGGGCCGTCCGGAGCCGTCCGTAAAGGAGGGGGTACTGTGGTGTCTAGACAGTTGTGTTAAGTTAATTTATTTAGTTCAGTCCTTTTGTCTTTTGCCTTGTCTTGTGATTTCCTGTTTTATTTTGTAGTAACCTTTCCCTCTCGTTTCAGAGCATTCCTGCCCTGGTGTGTTTTTCCCACCAGTGTGATTGTCAGCCCCTCCCTTAATTGTTGCCACCTGTGTCCCCTTACCTAGTGTGTATATATAGTCTGCGTCTCCCTTTGTCTTGTGTCAGTTCGTCTTGTCTCGTCAAGCCTGCCAGTCATCCCTTGATCGTGTGAAGTATATTTTTGATAGTCATGTAGATGTTTTTTGGTTTAGAGTTTTTGATCCTCCAAGTGAGCGTTTTGTATTTGACCTTAATTAAAAGACCTTGTTAATTCTAATCTGTTTCTGGTGTTGTGCATTTGGGTCCTGAGCCTCGTGACATTCTTAACAATAACTCAATGGTGCTCTAGGAGGAGATTCAGGTGATAAGGGGGGGGGGGGGGGGTTACCTTGGTTGCTGATTGGCTAATGGTGACACAAGACAACACATTGTTATGACATCATCAAGTGGCCAAAATCTGATCAGCTCATTTTCAGACAGGTTTTTATAGAAATGGATCAAAAATAGAGAAAATCTTTGTTCCTGAAACTTTCAGAGTCTCTTTCCACAGAGGGGACACATGTTGATGTAGAAGAGACATGAAGAAGAGGGGACACATGTTGATGTAGAAGAGACATGAAGAAGAGGGGACACATGTTGATGTAGAAGAGACATGAAGAAGAGGGGACACATGTTGATGCAGAAGAGACATGGAGAAGAGGGGACACATGTTGATGTAGAAGAGACATGAAGAAGAGGGGACACATGTTGATGTAGAAGAGACATGAAGAAGAGGGGACACATGTTGATGTAGAAGAGACATGAAGAAGAGGGGACACATGTTGATGTAGAAGAGACATGAAGAAGAGGGGACACATGTTGATGTAGAAGAGACATGAGGAAGAGGGGACACATGTTGATGTAGAAGAGACATGAAGAAGAGGGGACACATGTTGATGTAGAAGAGACACGAAGAAGAGGGGACACATGTTGATGTAGAAGAGACATGGAGAAGAGGGGACACATGTTGATGTAGAAGAGACATGAAGAAGAGGGGACACATGTTAATGTAGAAGAGACATGAAGAAGAGGGGACACATGTTGATGAAGAAGAGACATGAAGAAGAGGGGACACATGTTGATGTAGAAGAGACATGAAGAAGAGGGGACACATGTTGATGTAGAAGAGACATGAAGAAGAGGGGACACATGTTGATGAAGAAGAGACATGAAGAAGAGGGGACACATGGTGATGTAGAAGAGACATGGAGAAGAGGGGACACATGTTGATGTAGAAGAGACATGAAGAAGAGGAGACACATGTTGATGTAGAAGAGACATGAAGAAGAGGGGACACATGGTGATGTAGAAGAGACATGGAGAAGAGGGGACACATGTTGATGTAGAAGAGACATGGAGAAGAGGAGACACATGTTGATGTAGAAGAGACATGGAGAAGAGGGGACACATGTTGATGTAGAAGAGACATGGAGAAGAGGGGACACATGTTGATGTAGAAGAGACATGAAGAAGAGGGGACACATTTTGATGAAGAAGAGACATGAAGAAGAGGGGACACATGTTGATGTAGAAGTGACATGAAGAAGAGGGGACACATGTTGATGTAGAAGAGACATGAAGAAGAGGGGACACATGTTGATGTAGAAGAGACATGAAGAAGAGGGGACACATGTTGATGTAGAAGAGACATGAAGAAGAGGGGACACATGTTGATGTAGAAGAGACATGAAGAAGAGGAGACACATGTTGATGTAGAAGAGACATGAAGAAGAGGGGACACATGTTGATGTAGAAGAGACATGGAGAAGAGGGGACACATGTTGATGTAGAAGAGACATGAAGAAGAGGGGACACATGTTGATGTAGAAGAGACATGAAGAAGAGGGGACACATGTTTGATGTAGAAGAGACATGAAGAAGAGGGGACACATGTTGATGTAGAAGAGACATGGAGAAGAGGGGACACATGTTGATGTAGAAGAGACATGGAGAAGAGGGGACACATGTTGATGTAGAAGAGACATGAAGAAGAGGGGACACATGTTGATGTAGAAGAGACATGAAGAAGAGGGGACACATGTTGATGTAGAAGAGACATGAAGAAGAGGGGACATATGTTGATGTAGAAGAGACATGAAGAAGAGGAGACACATGTTGATGTAGAAGAGACATGAAGAAGAGGGGACACATGTTGATGTAGAAGAGACATGGAGAAGAGGGGACACATGTTGATGTAGAAGAGACATGAAGAAGAGGGGACACATGTTGATGTAGAAGAGACATGAAGAAGAGGGGACACATGTTGATGTAGAAGAGACATGAAGAAGAGGGGACACATGTTGATGTAGAAGAGACATGAAGAAGAGGGGACACATGTTGATGTAGAAGAGACATGAAGAAGAGGGGACACATGTTGATGTAGAAGAGACATGAAGAAGAGGGGACACATGTTGATGTAGAAGAGACATGAAGAAGAGGGGACACATGTTGATGTAGAAGAGACATGAAGAAGAGGGGACACATGTTGATATAGAAGAGACGTGCTTTGCAGAAATCTCCACATAATAATGTGGAGGAAATTCTTAAGAGAAACTGATAAATGATTCATGGACAAAGTTTGTTTTTTGTTATATTTAATAAAGTAATAAAGAAAGTCCATATAGAATTGAAATCGATCCCAAATGCAGGAACAGAGCAGCTTCATCATCAGGATGAAATGGCTTCGACCCCAGAACACAGCTTACAGTCTCATTATATGTAGAGAGAATATCCAACTGGTCCCACCCTTCAATTCTCTCAGGCATTATCTAAACATCCCCATCATTAAACTAAACCATTAAACCTCCCAGTGCTCAACCATTTGCAAATCCACCTTTTGCCCTTCCTGACAGGTCAAACATGTCCCTGTGAAACACACACAGGACTACAACTACAAAGAAACCCACTTTATGATTCTTAAGCTTACTTACAATCAACACAAATACAGAGATAACGAATTAGAGCACGGCCACAGCTTTTCACTCCAGAAATCAAGAGGTGGTGTTAATATGTGAGATTAACCTGCTGAACTAAACGTCCAAGTATCATAAACGTGTGTTTGTATTTTCTGTAATAATCCAAAATCACATGAGAAATCCCATTGGCTTTTTGTGAAAGGAACCAGCCTTCAGGGTCAAATACAACATCCCTGCACCATATTTATTATATCTTAGACATTTTTTACCAATGTTAAGAGACATAGAATTCATTTTGTTAGATTCAGATTTGTTTTAAGGGTTTTTGGATAGTTTTAAGTGTTTTCAGCTTGTTACTGCATAATATACAAACTCTCTTCAATTAAAAACGTGCTCTATAATATCTCCATATTATGTTATGATTGTAACGGTTTGTGAAGAAAATAACAGTTTAATTAAAGGATATGATTACTTTTGGCCAGTGGTGCACTAAGTAACTTAGTATCTCAGAGGTACGCTACATCTCGTGATGCTGTTGAGCTCTCGCTGCCTCTTCGTTCATGTTAGTAGCCGCCCTGATCGCGGACTTCATGGCCGTCTCGATCCAGGCGTGAGGGAAGGCGGTGTGTTCCCCGGCAAAGTAGATCCTGCCTTCACTTTTGAACAGCTCCTCGGCGTACTGGTATAAATGCTCGTAGGGAGTGAAGAGAGCAAAGGCGCCCAGGCTGTGAGGATCGGTGCTCCACTTCTTCACGACCACCCCGGTGCAAAGAGCCCTCACTTTCTTCCCGTGGATCCGCTCCAAGTCTCTCAGCATCAGCTCCTTTTTCAAAGATTCAAAGATTCAAAGGTTTTATCATCATATGCTCAAAGCTACAGTGTAGAAATAACAATGACATTCTTCTGACCTGAGCTCCTCCAACAATGCAACATTTATAATAAAATACAAAATAAAAAGTAGTGCAAGAAGTCAATAGAATATGACATGTACAAGAACAGAATATGAAATTAAATAATGTAAATTAAGACAAAATGAAATACGGTTTATTGCGGTGATTTCTATTTCGATAAATAATATAAAAACATAATTACGCTGACAATATACTTTATTTTAACAATTCATATTGTGACTTTTTTCCAAAGATAATGTAATATTCATTGACTTTATACTTTTTTCCGACTTATTTCATTGTGTTTTTTTACAAACTATACTTTGACTTTTTTACGAGATATTTTTCATTATTTTTCAATAGTTTAGAGATAAACTGTTTTCATCATGTTTTTTTCGATATTTTTTTGCAACTACTTTCTATTTCAACTTGGATGAAATTAAATAATGTAAAGTAAGACAAAATCAAATACGGTTTATTGCGGTGATAACTATTTATATAAATAAGTATATTGCAAGATGACAAACAGGAATGTTTATCGGGGCACTTTACAGACCTTGAGGTCTTCGTCACTCGCTCCCATGAAGAGGACGGAGTCCGCGGCCCAGGTGTAGGAAGCCAGCAGAACCCCGATGTCTTTATTGGTCGGGAAACTGTGACTCGGGTAGTAGATGAACCGAGAAGGACCGTCGGTGATGCTCTGCCCGCCATGGATGCCGTCCTCCAACCAGAACTTCTCTCTAAAAGTGAGGATGACCTTAGTGGAGCTTCCGTAGTGGACTGCCCTCATGACTTCCATCTTTTTAATGGGCAGAGGCGGATCAAAGTCGATGAAAATGGCTGCTTTGGCCGTGGTGGTCACCAGGACAACGTCAGCATGAAGGTCAATAAGAGGAAGTTCTCGATCGGTCTGATAGGACACGATGACCCCTCGATCTGATTGGCGGATACGTTTCACCTTAGAGTTGAGGAGGATTGGGACGTGGAGGACATTGAGGAAAGCTGTGGTCAGCAGATCAGTCCCGCCCGTCACCTCGAAGTACCTGTAAGAGAAAACAATTGTAGTCTCCTTGTATCAGCCACAAATGTAAGTAATATGTGATCAGTGACCTCTGGATTTCTCTATATGTGTGCCGTTGGAGAGTTAATAAAACACATGTTGATTGAATCTGAAACTCCACATATTCACTACACTTTATGATCTTTGAACTAAAAAAGCTAACGTTAGGCTATAAAGGAACTACAGCACGGTCACATGACTTCACGTCACCACCACTAAGCTAAAGGTGGCTAATGTTGAGCTACATGTATAAAATAACTACAGCACGGTCACATGACTTCACGTCACCACCGCTAAGCTAAAGGTGGCTAATGTTGAGCTACATGTATAAAGGAACTACAGCACGGTCACATGACTTCACGTCACCACCACTAAGCTAAAGGTGGCTAATGTTGAGCTACATGTATAAAATAACTACAGCACTGTCACATGACTTCACGTCACCACCGCTAAGCTAAAGGCAGCTAATGTTGGGCTATAAAGGAACTACAACACGGTCACATGACTTCACGTCACCACCGCTAAGCTAAAGGTGGCTAATGTTGGGCTATGAAGGAACTACAGCACGGTCACATGACTTCACGTCACCACCGCTAAGCTAAAGGTGGCTAATGTTGGGCTATGATGGAACTACAGCACGGTCACATGACTTCACGTCACCACCGCTAAGCTAAAGGCGGCTAATGTTGAGCTATAAAGGAACTACAGCACGGTCACATGACTTCACGTCACCACCGCTAAGCTAAAGGTGGCTAATGTTGGGCTATAAAGGAACTACAGCACGGTCACATGACTTCACGTCACCACCGCTAAGCTAAATGTGGCTAATGTTGGGATATAAAAGAACTACAGCACGGTCACATGACTTCACGTCACCACTGCTAAGCTAAATGTGGCTAATGTTGGGCTATAAAAGAACTACAGCACGGTCACATGACTTCACGTCACCACTGCTAAGCTAAAGGAGGCTAATGTTGGGCTATAAAGGAACTACAGCTCGGTCACATGACTTCACGTCACCACCGCTAAGCTAAATGTGGCTAATATTGGGCGTGATGATGTTTTTTGTCTCGTTTAGACACTTGTAAGCAACAGCCTTTTTTTGTTACCAGTGGGGTATTATCTGACGTATTTTATGTCGTGGAACAAAACGTGAACATTTGATAAGCTTGTCTTCGAGAGGAGGAACAGTAAGTGGTTAATTTCCTCATTAAAGACTTATTGCTGCACTGCTCTAGCCCGTAAATGAATTCAGGAACAAGTTAAACATTGAAACGGTACTTGATGGTGCTTCTGACGTCGCCACGGATGTAGATAGCCTCGGTCAGAGCCATGTTCATCAGGCTATCTTGGTTCAGTAGGTCTCCGATCATCCTTATCGCCTCCTTACTCAAGTCTTCTCCATTCAGATAATCCTGGGAAATAGATGTTTTTTACATTATAGTCATTATCTTTAAATATTCTGTCTTTCATCAAAGCAAAAAGTGTTCTCCCCTTGTACAACGTGCATTGGAAGTACATACAATTAAAAAAATAAGAATTTAAATTACCTCCAAAGAGTACGGGTCGTACTTCTGGAGCGCAGCTTTGCAGCCATGTGCCTTCACATAATCTTTCACCTAGATAGAATATTATTAACATCTCAGCTGTTATTTGGTATTTGTACTGTATGCATATTGAGGAACACCAAGCGATAATAAATAAAACAATTCATAGAAAATCTGAGTAGCAATCATTCAATATTGAATATTCTCTTTTGTGATATTGGTTAAATTAATTTGCCAGTATTATTATTATTTTCATATTTTTTTACTTTCATATATAATCTTATTAAAATTATTATTTATATTATTATTATTCAATTTTATTGTGTTTATGTGCAATGTACCTTCTGCATAGCTCCCTGCATTAGCTGGTTTGCAGACTTCCCCCTCTCGCTCTTCCACACGTTATACTCCAGGATGTTTGGATCAGCCTTCACAGCGTACGTCTTCTTCAGCAGCCCGTTCACCAGGTAGAACGTGTTCAGGTCCTCCATGATGAATGGATTCAGCTTCACTCCCAGTTCTTTAGCAAACCAGAGGAGGATGCTGCCAACAGACGCATTTACATGTTTCAGACTTAAAGGTCTCCTATCATGCAAAATGCACTTTTTGATGTCTTTTCTACATAAATGTGTCCCTGGTGTGACCCCGGTGTGACCCCGGTGTGACCCCGGTGTGACCCCGGTGTGACCCCCGGTGTGTCTGGAGACTCTCTAAGTGTCAGATAATATACCCCTCTCTCTTTTCCTCCGTACCCACATCTCTAAAAACGGGGGAACAACGGAGCTGATCCAGATTTGCTGCGTCTTGACGACATTACTAAAATGTGGGCGGGCTTTACCCCCACGGGCCAATCAGAAACGTTGCTGTTAGAAACAATGAGATGTGTTTTGGACGTAATACGGTCTGTGTTTTCATTAGCATTGCTAACACTCAGAGCCAGTGGTGTAGTGGGCGTTGGACGCCGTACCCCCACTTATTTGAAGCATGATTTTTTTTTGTCTAATAAATATAAAATCATTGCCAGTGTTATCAGTTCCAATTGTATTTGTTGTAATAATGACGAACACATAATAGGCATATTTGACAGTAATTATAATAAAAATGTAGCTCAAGCATTTATGCAACTTGATTTGAAGCATGTGTGTGTGTGAGGGGCAGCATCGTGTGTGTGTGTGTGTAGGGTGACCAGGTGTCCCGCTTTGTAAGGGACTGCACACACAGCATTTTTATTATTTGTCCCGCGTCCCACAAATTGAGACAATGTCCCGCATTTGAGTGACAGTCGAGAGCATGTGTGTGAAGAAGCAGGAAATCAAAAGGAAGTCACCTTGTGGTAAACCTGAGAGAGAGAAAGAGTTTGAGCTCCATCCTGTTTCAGAGAGAATCCTTGATGTGGTTTTGATTTTTAAAGCTACAGACCCAGAATCAGCACTTTAGTAACAGCTGAAATAGAGGGACTTGAGGCTAGAATGAGTGATCTGTTTGGTATTTTGAGCAAAACAATTCAGAGAAAAATGTTTTATACATTTTTGATAGATCAGAAACCTATAATATATGCCTTAATAGGAGACCTTTACGGCCCGTCCACACAGCAGCGTTAAAGAAATCTTCCAACGCTTCTCTGCCCATTCACTTTGAATGGGGTGACGTCACTTTGCCTCGCTTTTCGCCGAACTGCATTGTGGGAAGCAAAGCGAAGATTTCCAGGATTTTCAGGATTCAAAAGTTGAGCAATGTTCAACTTTTGAAGCTGAGCTGGAAGCGTCAGCCAATCAAATCCCGTTTATGCAAATCTGACAGTAGAAGCGCTAGCCAATCAAACCACGTGTAAGCAGGGAGAACCAGACCGCAGTTCATTTCCTCATATTCCAAACGAGAAATTACGGTAGCAAATCACCCGGTTCTTTACGACCAGAACTATTAACGGGATACAAACCGGAGGAGCCAGGCATGGAGGGAGGTGGCAGAGACAGTGGGTGGAACTGGTAGGTTTTCGCCTGTTTGGGGAGTTTATATATATTTATATATTGCTCGCATAAAATCCCCGGGGTTTTTTGCTTTGTATGTCGGGGGCGGGAGATTCATGTGATTGGTTGTTGGTCGCGTTGCTTGCAAAAAATCCCCAAGCTTTCAGACACGCCCACCTCCAAGATTTTCAAGATTTTTTGAAAGCTGCTGTGTGGACGTACCGTTAAGGTGAATCAGATTTATTTCTTCAAACTTGTCTTGAACTCACTGGTGAAAGCTGGGGATCCTCATGGCTCCAAGGTCAGCGTACCATCCCTCCGTCTTGTTCCTGTGGGTATGCACCCGGCCTCCAACACGCTCACTGGACTCTACTATGGTTACCTTGTACATATAAAAAAAAGTCATTAAATGTGTGATTTCCCCCAAAAAACAACCTTTAAATTAAGTCTTTATTCAGTCTTCAGTGTGTTGCATCCTTTAAGGAGCTTTGGGGGTTTCCTTGTGCATCTGACAATAAAAGCTTCAAATCATGAGAAATTGTTTTTTAACCTGTTGAACCCTGTTTTTCAGGTTTCAGGCTCCAAAATGACATTCCCAGAACAAATGACCATATCTTCTAAAAGGGTTACATTAATAATCTTTGTTCTCAAAGTAATGATAAACCTGTGAGTTGGATGTAGAAAAGTCAGAATCAATATAGATGTTTTTTATTTAAAAAAAATTCAGATTGAACATGGTAAAAAACTGTAAATTATAGTGTCCGTCCAAAAATAATTGTTGTACTTATAGTGAAAACTAACCTTGGACGATGGGTTAGTAGACTAAAAGCTTTAGGAATCCAAAGTACAACATATAATAAGTACCCTGTATCAAGATTGATGCAAAACAAGTGACATTTGACCTTTTTAGAGAGATTTAGCAAAAAACTCCACCTCAATTTTCACGACCGAAATTTCATTTTAGAGCCTTTAAATCATTAGAAATAGTTTTATAAAGCATTTTTCCCCCTTAATTCCTATTTTAGAGTTCTTAGATCATGATAAATAGTGTATGAAGTGTATTTGGAGTGTGCACCTGGTGCCCGGCGTCCTGCAGCAGCTTTGCAGCCGTCAGTCCTGCAGCCCCGGCCCCGACGATGACCACGTGATGGGAGGAGTTGATGTGAGGAAGGCCGCTCTGCACCGTCTTCAGGAGTACATCGTAGTCTGTGTCGTGAAGACAGTACTCCAGATTATACTCCGGATGTTCCTCCAGATGTTCCTTCAGATTATCCTCCAGATGTTCCTCCAGATGTTTCTCCAGATGTTCATCCAGGTGTTCCTCCAGATGTTCCTCCAGATGTTTCTCCAGATGTTCATCCGGATGTTCCTCCACACTCACAGCAGCTGATGATGTGTTTCTGAGGCACAGAGTGAGCAGCAGCAGCCACACGACACCTGGAAACACAGATATTATTATTATTATTATCTATGTTTATCTATGTTTATCTATTATTATTACATTAGTTAATGAAGAGAGGGACATTTAATTTGAGCCTCTGTGCTTCCCTTAAGCCCCTGTCACACTGTCCCGAAATTGACACCCGATGGACACACGATAAAGGAAATGTTCAAATTCGGCTGTGATCGTAGCAACATCGGGCCATTCGTGAGGGCATCTAAGCCATCGTATGATCGCCGGTGGAGTTTCTCAGGCTCCGGCAGCAACTTCGTGAGCGGCAACTTCGTAAGGCACTCGTGAGGGCATCTTGTCAAATCGTGTCATCTTCGTGTTATCATCGGTGCATTCGCCCTCACTCTGATCGGGGCGAATGCCCGATGGCACCGATGATAACAAGATGCCCTCACGATGGCCTTACGAAGGGCAACACGAATTCAACACGAAAATGAACCTTCGCAAGGTCCTTCGGCAATTTTTTGGCATGCCAAAGATTTTGCCACCGCTCACGAAGTTGCTGCCGGAGCCTGAGAAACTCCACCAGCGATCATACGATGGCTTAAGATGCCCTCACTAATGGCCCGATGTTGCTACGATCAGAGCCGAATTTGAACATTTCCTTTATCGTGTGTCCATCGGGTTTTTTATTGCACAACAAAATCATGTAAATATATTATGTAAATAACCCAATTTGTGTTCTGTGAAACTAAAAAGGATATAATATATTATTTTGAAGGAGAGTTGACAGGAAGTTGTTGTTGCTATGGAAACAACATTACGGAGAAAACGTAATATTTTCTACATATAAAGACGGATAAAGTAAAGAACAAAGTCTGAAGATATCAGTACAGTATCATAGTACTGTAACATAATTGTTTGTGTTACTTTCGTTGCAGTTGTATGTCTTAAATGTAATGTAAATGTTGCCTTCGTGTGTGGTTCGGGGCCATCTTCGTGCGAAATTCACAATTCCATATTCGTGTGTCCATTGGGTGTCAATTTCGGGACAGAGTGACAGTGGCTTTAGTGCTTCATAGGAGTGGGGGAAATAATCGATACAGCATAGTATCGCGATACCTTGTGTGGCAATATTGTATCTATACACGGATACCAAGTATCAATATTTTATTATATAAACTTTTATCTTCGTATATATATATTTTTTTCTTCTATAAACTGTAGCATATCCCTCCGAAAGACGGTCGTGTATAAAACGGGAAGTTACGTTAAGACATGTATACAATTGCAATGAAAGTAACACAAACAATGCCATCTCCTTTTCAGGTTCAAAGAACACACATTGGGTTATTTACATAAACTATTCATATTGCAAATACATGTTTTAACCAGGAAGGGAAGACGGACATGGATATGAGTCATGTGATTTGCTATATCGCAATATATCGTATCTCAATACTTAGCATATCAGAGAATCGCAATACTATCGTATTGTGGCTTAAGTATCGCAATAGTCTCGTATCGTGGGGAGCCTGGTGATTCCCACCCCTAGTGCTTACAAATAAATAAGAATTTAGTGCAAAAGAAACATTTAAAAAATGATTTATTAAACAAAGAACAGGTGTATCAAATATGGAAAAAAGTAATTAAAGAACACTAATTTAATAAACAAAAAAGACTCAAAATTCAAATTAATGTTTTTTAAAGTTTCCTAAAGGTTATAAAATATGGCAAAATAATAAAAGTGCAAATCAAATGAAAGAAAGCCGATTTAATTAACAAGAATACTTGTTATTAATCATTATTCTGATGATTTCCTTTTTTAATGTGGATAAAATAAGGCAAAAGCCTGAATACATGTTATTTATTTTAACAGTCAATACAAAGTCAAGTCTACATTTGTAATGACTTGCAGTTAAACCTAGTGGGTTTATATTCTCACTTCCTTTAACACAGCATGTGACCTTTAACACAGCATGTGACCTGTAAAGTACTTCCTGTGAAATCCTTATTTTTCATCATGCGGTGATGAATGATAACTGAAACCATGAACTCAGGAAGCAGAACAAGTGACCGCAGCAACATCTGCATGAAAAACTCTCAACAGACATTATTTTATCAGACACCATTTTAAAAGATGTCTGTCTCTGATATTGTGTCATTTAAAAATTGAGTAAAAACACAATATTGCTGCAAAAAAATACTCACAGGATTTCCACATCACTGTCTGAGGATCCATGAGTTCAGCTTTCTGAAGAAGGGAAACAGGAACTAAAGGAGGCAGACATCATTACATCCTGACCAACAGCAGGGATATTCAACTTCATTAGCAAGTGGGCCAAATAGGAACATCACTGGGGGTTTGTGGGCCACACAATACTTTGTCAAGGAATCACCACAAATAACTCTTGCTTACAGTAGTGTTAATAGATACTAATACATTAAATGAACTAGTCAAGTGCATCCCTTTTTTTTAACTTTAATTCAACAGAAATCATTACAAAAAGCAACCAGTCCATAAAAAGTAGGAAAAGCTTCGGTTACAAGGCTTGGTGCAAAATGTTGCATCTTTAAAACTAGGGAGACATGAGTTTTTCCCCCCAACAGTTCCATGTCCACTAATGTACAAAACAAGATGAATATAATACAACAGTATTCATCACATTAAGTAGCCCTGTGTATAATATCCTCAACACTTCCAAGCATAAGGTGCATTGAAGACAACACAAGTCCATAACATGTAATACTAAATGCAAATAGAACATAGTAAAACAATAGCCATCAGACTCACAATAACATTCATATCTTTTTGAAACAGTAAGTAGGCTCGTTTGAATGACCATAAAAACTGATCTGCATACATACCATGAATCAGACTTCTGTCATGTTTAGCCTGTTTGAGTCAGTGAGCATGATACTGCCTGGTTTTCGGACCCCCCCAATAAAGCAAAACTGCACGTTTAGAGTGGCCTTTTATTATGGCCAGCCTAAGGCTCACCTGTGCAATAATCATGCTGTCTAATCAGCATCTTGATATGCCACACCTGTGAGGTGGGATGGATTATCTCAGCAAAGGAGAAGTGCTCACTGTCACAGATTCTTTCAGATTTGTGAACAATATTTGAGAGAAATGGTTATTTTGTGTTGATAGAAAATGTTTTAGATCTTTGAGTTCATCTCATGAAAAATGGGAGCAAAAACAAAAGTGTTGCGTTTATATTTTTGTTCAGTGTATATGTTGGATTTTTGACAGCAGGTCACATGTAAAGATAGAAGGACATGCTTAAAGCGCTGCGTCCTCTATCTGCCCCTTTCTTCTCTTTACATCTCTAATGTCCGAGGCTCAGTTAATAGGGACTTGGACCGTAGGGTTGCTGGTTCAAGTCCCCGAAAATACCTACATATGGAGTTTGGACTGGTACTTGGAGAGTTCACCTCCTGCCCTTGAACAATTTCTTTGGCAAGTGGAGGTTGTTAAAGCTGGTGACGCTATGCAAAGTAAGCAATTAGGCTTTAACCTGAAGTATTAACACATAATACGGCAATGTGGAAGCGTCCTAAAGCAGACAAACAGGCACATTTCACCCTGTGTGCTTTGTTACAGAGGGTTTCGTCCCTCCGATTCTATCTATCTAAAGCAGGGGTGTCAAACTACATTTCCTCACGGGCCACATTCGCATTATGCACTCAAAGGACTGGTTGTAACTTTAAGACTATATACAAATACATATATAAATATTTTATACATATAAAATAATGTATTATATTACATTATTGCCTCTGCTTTGGATTATTATCAGATAGGGTAATAACTTCATAATTAACTATATCTGAAAGCAGAAGTCTAGGAAAAATAATTGCAAGTCCCTTCAGTGAGAATGCCACAAAATGATTTTGGAAAAAAAGTTAATCTGATCTAAAGGCCCACCCTGGCCTAAAAAATACCTTTAAAAAAACAAAGAAATATTTAAAGTGTCTTACCTTGACTTTAGTGGACTCGCTCTGCAGAATGGCTCCCTGTGATGCGGCAAGCATTTATAAAGGGTGACACAATGGGAGTGTTTATCAGAAAATATTGTCTAATCTGATTTGATATGTTAGCATTAAGACACGTCTGTCACACCCTGATTGTTTAATTTCAACACAAAGGAAGTCCAGCCGCTCGGGTCACATTTCACAGAGAAAAAGCCAGCAGGATGTTCTGGTCATGAATTAAGGTTAAAAAGGCAGAAGAATGATTTACAATAAAAATAAATAAATAAAAAAGTAAATACATTTTTTTGGTAAACATTGGAAATAACATTACAAATGGGCAAAACAAATACAAATTGAATAAAGGACAAACGAAGACAAACGATCCGTCCTGATCATTAATCTAAATTATATCTTTTGTATTTAAAGTTTGCTTCTACAATGGTACTGTTGATGTTTGTTAAATTAATAGATACACAAATAACTGAACAAATAGATCAATCAAACAGAAGAAGAAGGAGAGGAGGAGGAAGATTGAGAAGATTGTCTTTTTTCTGCCTGTTAATTTATTCCGGCAAATGACTCAGACCTACTATTTGACCTAACAGTAGCTATTGAGTCCATGTAAGTTTACTGCTTGGCTCAGATCCACCAAGGTCAGCAAGATCTCACCTCTATTAACCTGTTAAGCCCGAGAGCACCCGGATTAGGGACCTGCGTGGTGTTTTTTCACGACACTGTGTCTCAAACCTATTAATGTGTCATACTCACTTAACGGTTAGAAACTCATCTAACTGAAGATATGAACAATGTTTACCGAAACAAAGCACAAGTCTCACAAGAAGCGTCTAAATTAGCCCTGAGGGAAAAAATGCTAACGCACTTAGCACAGAACTCAAGGTAAAAATACCCTTATTACTCATCGTAACTGCACAAGATATCCGATTAAAACTGAGATTCCACAGATTCTATAGGTATTAGTATCATTACTGAGCGATCAGAAGTCGCGACAGGGGAAGCAAACACAGACATCACAACACGTAGCATTCATTCACTGGACATCTCTTACCTTAGCTGTTACCTTTCTGATCAAAAGTTGCGTTCAATGGCAATAAAACGGTAAAAACGCGGCTGAAGGTTAATCCATACGTTAATCCAATGTGCGCAGCACTCATTCACCAATGGGTAATGTCTAGATGGATTTTAGGAACTTCTCCTCGATACTATTGGCTCTAACGGTTAAAAAGAGGTGTCAATCATCAAAACTGACCGAGGGGGGCCAGAGATATGGAAAATCCACCCCAATGACCCCAGAAGTGGGAATTTCACTTGTTTTGCATCAATCTTGATACAGGGTACTTATTATATGTTATAGTTTGGATTCCTAAATCTTTTAGTCTACTGTCCCATCATTCAAGGGTGGTTTTCACTAGTTTTTTACTATGTTCAATCTTTATTTACTTTAACATTTAAAACATCTATATTGATTTTGACTTTTCTACATCCAACTCACAGGTTTATCATTACTTTGAGAAAACATATTGTTCATTTACCCCTTTCAAAGGGGTTCTGGGAATGTCATTTTCGAGCCTGAGACCTGAAAAACAGGCTCAGGGCTTAACAGGTTCACAGCTGTTTCAATTCAGACGACCCGCTAAATCTGTTTAAGCGATCCCGAAGGATTTTGATATCAGTAATGAGGTGTGGCCCTACCTAAGTGTGAGTGTGGCAGGGTGCAATCTTACCTTAAAGCAGGAGAGGAGAGCGCAGTTTTCCCAATCCAAAGAGTGGGATCAGTTTATTTGAATAGAAAGTCCACACTTGTACAGGGGGTTTACCTTCTCTCGTTACAATATGACAATCATACAAAACATATCATGCTGTGGTAATTTTTCTAATATGAAACCTCAATTCACAGTCTAACATTTATTTCACTAAATTGTAACTTCAACTGCCCAATTCAGTTGAGACATTATAATCTTCCGACAGAATCCAGAGGAATCTCCTCATAAATCGCCGGTGCTAAAAACACATTCAAGCCGACAACATTTAGGGGGATTTCCTCATAAATAGTCAGTGATCTGATCCAACAGTTTCAATCTTTCATTCTACAATTCACTCAAGGCTTTAGTCTAATTCCGACAGAATCTAGAGGAATCTCCTCACAAATCGCCGGTGCTACATGTAACCGGTCTGGTTTGACGCCACATGTGATCTCTGCGTTGTGTTGTGTGATCGAATGCAAACGACTTCCTTCTTGCCAGCCAGGATTTATTATCTGTGCAAACAGAATATAATGACAGCAGGAAATGGCTTCATCAGCTTTCTACCTCAATACTTCTCCTCAGTGAAGCCTGAAGCTAACTGAAGAAAGTAGCACGAGTCTGCAGAAATGTGCCGGTGCCAAGAGTACCAAAATAAAACGTACTTTTCAAAATAAAAGCATTATAAAATAAAGTGACAGTGACACATTTTACAAAGAAAATATGGACAAAAATGATTTTACCGAAATATAAACAAGTGAAGTTGTACATCGGTTACATACACATTCAAACTTTATACATACACACCTATTCCAGCATGAATTTGGAGGAATTCAGTTAACTCAGTCAAACATTCATTCAACCATTCAACAAATCAATTTGAGAGACCTTACCAAAGTTGAGAGAACCTACCCAGGAGAGAGCTTACCAGGGGGAAAACCCCGCCCTCTCGCTTTCTCCCTCTCAGCCAGTGCTTTTATCAGTGGCGGCCGGCCCATAGGGGCGCTAGGGGCGCCGCCCCACCTCTTCCCACATACAAAATAAAATTAAAATAATAATAATATATATATTTTTTTTAAATATATATATTTTATATTTTTAATTTTTAATGAACAAGGTAAATATCATACAATTGGTATCAGTAAAATGTATAATCTACAATAAAATCTCGTTTAAAATTGTGTTACGATGTCTAAAGTTACTGATAAATCACATGTTTCCTGCCTGGCCTTGCCCGTGGCATTAGTCTATCATTACCGGGCGGAGCCCCCGAGCCAAACAGCAGCAACCAGCACGTTGCAAAAGTCTCAATAGTAAACTGTGCCGCCGAAACATAATTTCAGCCAATCAGCGCTGTCAAATATTTTGGTCACGACGGCGCTCACGTTGGCGCCCACGTTGCTTACTGTACGTGCGTTGACGTGAGTTGTTTTTTAGACTCGTGAGTGACCAAGGTGACGCAGTAGTTGGATGAGAATGGTGTTGCAGATGGAGTCGCCGGACCTCGGTCCGCACCCAATTCCGTACAAGAGCTACTCTCCAATCCTTTCTAAAGGAGAAGTTTGGGAGATAAATTGATACTTAAAGACCTTGGACCGGACCAACCCGATTTGTATATATCACAGCAAGCTCGTGAAAAAGACAAAACGTATCAACGAGGCTTCTCACATGGCTAGCCAACTCAGTCTCACAAAAAAACGTGTAATAACTACATTGGTCAGGGCTCTATAAATAGAGAACTACGGCAGATATGTAATATTTAATGCAGCCCAACCGTTTATTACAATGGCGTTATGTGATGACCTCCAAAGAGAAAAGCAAGCACACTCGGAATAAAGTATTTTCGGTCTGTTTCCGGTATTTGTTAATGACGATGTGCTGTGAGATGTGAGACTGGAATAGCACATGGGAAAATAACGTATCTTTAGATGCGGATTTTGTTAAACTAATACGTTTGCGCTGTGGACCAACACTATACATTGACGGGGAAGGGGATAGCAATAAAGATTACACCATTAAACTGTTACACAACATAACAGAAATAATATCGATAGCAGCATCCCTAGCAACCATCTTGGTAACAATGAAAACGTTGTACAGACACAATTTCCTGAAGTAATCTTCGTAATAATTAGCAAACTAAAGATCATGTACATCCACTGCACACATAATCTAAAATAACAACTCATATTTCTCGCATCAAATGACATCAAAACGCATTTTAATGGCCAAACTAACTTTAAAATAGGCATTTTACACCGAGAATAAAACGAAGTTCGGCCATGTTTCTTTTTTCTGCAGGGAGAAATGTGAAGATCACGTGACATAGACGCCAGCCATTGGAATGAATGGTGAACAAAAACATAGGGATCTTACAATTTCAGAGGCGTTTTTGTAGAAATACTACGTCCTACGTTGTGGACCAACGTAGTTATTACACGTTTTTTTGTGAGACTGGGTTGGGCTAGCTGGATGCAAACGATGCAAACAGGTAAATGCTATCTTTTGTTTCCCATGCTTGCTCTTCAAACAGCTGGGGACAGATACGATCTGTTCAGAAACTAGACAAAAGTTACACAAATACAAACCACAGACTGTCTGTGTCATGGAGAATACAGTCGCTGGTTTATTTATGTCTGTATAGTTCGTTGTTGTGAGTGTGGACGGTCGGAGCATATATAACGTTAGCTTAGCTTAGCCAAGCTCCATTCAGAAAACAAGCATTCTAAAAGGTTTTTCGCCTGCCGTCTGTCTGCAGACTTGTCAAAGCATTAATTCATGGTTTTTACTAACCGGTATCAGTATGTTGTTACGTCGGCATCATTTAGAAACGTGTATTACAATTTAATCACGGTCAAATATGTTCATTTTGTTGTAGTTGCAGCTCCCGAGCCAGCGCGTGATGTTTGAATGATGCGAGTAAACACAGCTGGCAGCCGCGGTGAAACTCGAGCGACTAGAGCGATGCGATAGGAGCGTTTAGAGCGAAGCGAATATTCGCATCACGTCCGGTCTGAACGCAGCATTAAAGCGAGCTCCGCGCTGCACTGGAAACGCGCCATTACATCACCAGAAGTCCTAATTTAAGGGGTCATTTCTCCCAAAAAAAATTTGTTTACTCACTATATCAACAGCCCCACCAAAAATATTTTCCACCAGCGCCACTGGCTTTTATGATCCACACTTTTTAACGGTAATCAGCAGCGAACCGCTTCAACACGTGTATTTTGGTTTATTCACGGCATTTTGTTATTCTACAGTATTGTTGTTTTATAGTTATTG